AACAGGAAAGCGTGGGCGTTTCCAATCCCTTTTAACTCTAATATCTATGGTGTGGCTCAATCAAGCCATGCTCCACCCCACACACAGTAAATGGTGGCACATGGCCCTATGTGGCGAAGAAAGCTTTGGTTTTTCTCGACTTTTAAACAGTTTAGCACACATTTGTTAGGCTCTATTTGTTGCATACAAACTGCTCTCTAGTCCCTAATGTTAAAAGACTCTGGCCGCTACCTCGGGAGAAGAGAGCCTCGTCTAAACTCACAAGGTATGAAAGTTTGGGCTATCATATCTTTAAAACAAAGACGATTGGAACAATTCCTCTCATATTAATGAAAGATGAGACTTTGCTTTATTGTTTTATCTGCCCTGTTGCTCTTTTGCTTTCACTACGAAAGAGCTGCAGGAGAGCCGACTACGTTTGGCGACTTTGCCAGCTTCTTTTACCACGGAAAAGACAAATCAAGGATTCCCAAGACAGAGAATAACTTTTTCTAGAGCCAGTGTTGATTATAAGACTCTCCAGGACAAGACAAGAAAGCAGTGTCAGCTCAAAAGTGGAGGTCAAAGCGAACACACAGACAGGACGACTGCTTTACCCTCGACTACGCCTACGCGGTCTCGGGTAATAAAGATGAAGTTGATGTCATGAAGAACACATACATGTATATGTACATGTACATGTACACATGCAAATACCTTTAATGTGTTTCCTGGTCTAATGATTGGGAATTCATTCAATTGGTTTTGAATTAAATCAATCTCAGTAATCCTCTCCAACCCAACCACTAATAACAAGATAAAGAACACCACATACTCTAAGTATATACTGACTACATTTAATACACTTACAAGGTGGTAATGCTTTTAACTTGTTTTTAGATAGTGATAATTTAGTCAAATCTAAAAATAAAGACAATTAAAACATATATTACACAAACATATACGGTATACATTCAAATTTTTTTAGTGTTTAAAATTTCATGTTTTTGACGAAATGTACTAAAAAAATTAATATTTGTGCAAGCTAATTTTCATATTCTGGCCATAGTCTATATACAATAGAATGGCAATAGAGGTGGTTTAAATTGTAAGGATTTAAGGTGAGCACAAATAATAACAGAAATTACCACACATATGGTACTTCTTGTTAAATCACTGAATTGTGATACAGTGACTACTTGAAACTGATTTACATGTACATGTACTCACTCCTCATTCTCCGAGGTTAGGTGGTATCTCGTTCAATCTATTCTCCGATAAATTAAAAGTTCTCAAAACTGTCAACTTCTCAAGACCGTCAGGTAATGCCTCCAAGGAATTACCACTTACATCCTAAACACAATAAACAAGTCTCATGACAGGGGCCATTGAAGGGACTAAAATTTGGCAAATTGCTAAATTTTAGTGATTGGCAAATTTTAATTTGGCAATGTGCCATTGAGCATGCGTAAAATGTCTCAAAATGGTGGATTTTTATTTTGGCAAATGGCTATCAAAAAGCCAAATTCACCCAAATTTAATCCCTTCTAAAATTCCCCACTAATTTAAATGTCCTTATACTGTGTATCAACTTTGAGCTAATCCAGTTCAAATTTGAAATTTTTATAAAATTTTAATTGGAAAAATTGGTCAAAGTTCCTGTAATATAGTGCAGCCAAATTTTTGCCAAAAATGACTATGAAAAAATTCTCCATTTTAATAAATTTTCCTGATACATATACATGTTCTTATGTTGTGCAGCAAATTTAAGCTGATTCTGATCAAAATTGGATTTTTTAACGAATTTTAAAAGTAACTCAAAAATCAGGGCAAAGTCCCTGTACTGTAGTACAGGATCACAGGTCAAATTCGTCAGAAATGGCTAGGAAAGAACTCTCCATTTTTATAATTTTTTCTGATGCACATACATGTTCGTAAGTTGTGTACAAAATATGAGCTGATTCCGATTAAGTTTAAATTTTTTATTAATTTTTAAAGTTGCTCCAAATGCCATGTACTGTACTGTAGTGCTTGTCAGCTCATGAAGCTCATGCTGTAGCTCACTTAGCATGCTTTGTGGGAAACCCTGCAGTGGCCTAATGTAAGTCGTGTGGTGTGTGTGTGTGTGTGTGTGTGTGTGTGTGTGTTGTACCAGTTCCTCTAGGTGGGAGAGACTAGTGATTGAGTGTGGTAGAACAGTTAGTGAATTGTGTGATATATTGAGAGACTGTAAGTTAGTTAATTGTCCAATGTTTACTGGTAAACACTGTAGTTTATTATAACTGAGGGAGAGATAAAGGAAACAAAGAATGAACTAAATACAAAAACAGGATAAGTGATGGATGCTGCATGTCAGTCAGAAAGTCAGTGTCACTAAATTTTTTGTAGCTTAAATTAAAATTTTATGCATATTTTGTATTAAACAAATTGTTGAGCTCATCAGCTAAAAGCAAAATTAAATCAATTTTTAAATTTAATAATTAAGTATGAGAGATGTACATGTACACGTGGTAGAGAGTGGATACAATATTTACCTTGCAAATATTTTAGATAGTTTATCCAGTTTGATCACATTATTAGGTAGACATCTTAACTCATTGTACTGGACCTATAATAACAATAACACACAACATGTAAACATAATTATCAGTCTTTATACAAAAATAAACAACAAAACTAAACTATAAACAAATCTACAACATTCAAGGGAGCTCTCTCAAACCATGCAGTATACCATGCTATTACAATTTAATTCATACATACATGTACAGTAAACATATATTATAATGATATTAAAAATCTTATATTTTCATTCATTCTCACCTCAAGTGCTGACAATGAATTAAAGTTTTCAATATCTTCAGATATTTCTTTGATTTCGTTAGATGATAGATCCAGTCTAGTCAGTTCCACCTGGTCCCACCATCTCTCATCAACATCAAATGAAGCAGTACTACCATCAGGAGGATCAATATCAAGTCTCCACAGTTTAGGAGGAATAACACTAATGCCCCTGTAATTATACACATTCACCATCTAACTTTCATACATACACATGTTCATTAATGCGTCATAAAAATGAAAATCAAAAAATCATTTAGGTCATTTTTGGTGAATTAAAAAACATGTTACAAGTCTCACACAGCCTCCTACCTGTTTGACAGGTTCAGTGAACCGGTTTTACGAGCTTCTTTCAATAAGGATTCTGGTACAGTCCCCTCTTTACCTACCCCATCACTTTGAATAGGAGAATTGAAGAAGTTGGGATTTGGTTTGAGTCTAGTAGAACCAGCAGGAGATTTTCTACTGGCACCACCACTGGAACTCATTTTATGAATTTTGGATAAGTGGGTGTGGTCTTAGAGTAGGCGTGGCAGTTATGGGACATTTACTTATAATTTTATATTTCTTAATACTGTATGGGTAGATTTTGTTCAAAATTTTTCTTGAGACTTACAAATGTTCTATCTTTCAGAGAATATTAAAGTTGTAATCTATATTTGTATATT